ACGCACACAAGCGAGAACTATCGTCCGTGTGCGCGTCTCGGCTACGGAAAGTGCAAACATACTATGTTCCGTCTCCGTTTCACAGAGTTGACTATATAATTAAGAAAAATACGGAAGCACATTCACGTTTACAGTCTTGGAAAAATTATAAGAATTGGAAAAATATTATTGATGTAATAAAACGCAACGTGAACGTGCTTCCGTGTCTCCCTTATTAGCCGACTTAGTAGAAAGAAGATGGAACATAGTGTTTGTACTCTTCCGTAGCTGAATGCACACGGACGACAGTACTCGCTTGTGTACACATCTCCATCACCTCGGTGCTAACTGGTTCGATTTTTCAACACCGTTTCTGTGTTTTGGCTGACACAATACGCTGACACAATTATAAGTTAAAAACATTCATAAAGTATCTATTATTTATTATTGTTATTAATATATATTTATTATAGTGAACAAGAAAAATATATATATATGTACAAAAAGAATAATTAAGAATAAGACACAAACAATTAAGTTACATATCACTGACGTATCGATTTTAAATAAATCTTGACACATTATCAGAGAAAATTAAAATCCACATAAAAAGATACAAGTACATACTTTCAACACTTTGTTATATGTATTATTGTTATTATGTAGAAATATATTGTATTGTATTAAAAGAAGTGTTTGTCAAAAACATATTCTACAAAAATCTATGATATCCCGAACAAAATTACCTTTTCAAAACAAGGTAAAAAAGGCGCCAAATACACACGCAACTTGTATCTCTAGAAAAAGTATTACTATTCCAGCAAACACAGAATATAACTGCTATATAATAGAAGTAACAGCGTAATATACGTAATATAACAGCTGTTATACTCTATTAACATCGATTTTATATAACTTTGTTTTATAATTATAATATAATTATGTTATATATCTATTATATTGCTTGTTATTAGCTGGTAATGACATTATAACTTTCATGTAACATTTCTGTAACTATATAACAATTATATTACATTCTACTTACATATTATATTCATATTATATAACTCTGCAATATACAATAAGTAGGAAATTACAACTAACATGGATGTTACATGCAACGTCGATGTTATATTACGACCATGTTATATTGTTACAATTTGTTTTATTACGACAATGTTGCTGTTATATATCTGTGTTTGCTGGGATATTATTGTACTACATAAAACCTCTTTTTCTACAAAAAAATGATATCAGAAAGTAGCGCTAAGTAAAACTAGGACGTTTATACACATCGTTACAAAAGAAAATATTAGAAAACTATAAAAATAGCTTTGCGTGAAATGTCTTAAACCATGTCAAATTACAAAGAGTGATCTCAAAAAACCTCTATTTTTTGCCCCTTTTGTCGATCTCATGTATCTGTTCGGAATGTGGTTTAACATTAGAGGTGTTGACAACAGACAGTGACTTGTGATATAATTTTACCTTTTGACAACTTTTAAACATCATAACAACTGTCCATATTTCTTGATTATTGTGCAATTTGACTATTTAATTTTGTTTAATATTTTTGTTTAATATTTTAATATTTTACGGTAAGCAAACAACTCTATTGTTTTTCTAAGTGAGACTTCCATATATATATTATCTAATTCTATTGTATATATAGATTTAAATACTGAGGAAGATCCCAAGATAGGATTGAAACGTCTGTTATAACTTCCAAATATATCAATAAATGTTTAATATACACTAAGACTTTGTATCAGACTTGTATGGCCTTTTATTATTTATTTGTTTAGATGCTTTTGAATATTTCATTTTTTTGCTTCTTACTGCCTTAACAGCCTTTAATTAATTGTGAGACCACGATTGCCTCTTTTTTGCCTTCATCTGAAAATATGATTACTAAAAACTTATTAATACATCAAATAAAGAACTTGAATAAAGGACTTGACAGTTCTTAATATAAAATACCTCATATTAAGAGCGACTGCGTGTCTCATATTAGGAAATATAAAATTGTAGAAAGTTTAAATTTATACCGACAAAATATGTAATAAATTGACAAAACATGATAAATCACTTATAGTGCATGTGTACACTTGAGTGAATTGAAATGACAGTAAATCCTATGACATAAAAGTGTTAAATACATATCTTAAAGTCATCTTAAAGTATATAATGATTAACAATTAGTAATAAACTGAGAATCATCTCGGGCTCTTTAAACTAGTCGATGAATATATAATGATTATTTTTCTTCTCTCCTTTACCCTATATGCCATTNGGTTTCTTATGTCTACTATTAAATTATGAAAGGATAAGAAAAGTAGAAAGTGTGCAGTAAATAAAACAACGTATCTCTAAAGTTTTAGAATTAATTATTTATTAGTTGTTTATATTTCTAGTAAAAAGCGTATAATAGTGGAAATTATTTCACATTAAGCATAAAAGTTAACCCATTAATATAAGTTTTCCAATTTTTTTTTGTTTTGTTTTTCCACATATTGAACTTCATTCAGTATATAATTTTATATTGTATCATTTAATAGAGATATTATACGATATGTCCTTGTTACGGTTACCAATTAACAAGAGCAAGGCTTGCACGTACATTGTCCGCCCGTTTTACAGCCACATTGGTCTGTGAACATAAAAAATTATAATTTACTTATCCTCTTAAATTGATAAAAAATCAAATTTAACCCTTCAAGACCAGACGTGTGTCTCCTAGACTGACTCAAAAATTGCGCATCATTTCTAGAAAACATTAGTTCTTTTAAATGCTTATATCTCCGAAATTACTAGAGATTTTTTCACTTTGTTTATTTTTATCGACACAAAATCGTTCAAACTGTTGAGTCAAAGAAATAAAATTTTTAAAATACTGATTTTTCGCGGAGATATTTGATCTAAAATCGTAGGTCTCAGATTTGGTCTAGCCATGAAGGATTAACGATAGTTGTATAACATTATTTTATAAAGAACAGAAGATTTATATACACAATTTTACATTCTATATATATATGTATTTTTTGTTTATAGGAATTTACTAATGATGAAATCTTATTGTAAAATTTAATTGTAAAACACAACTTTCAAAATAAAAAACAATTTCGTATAAGAGTATAAGAAAATCTAAATGAAAGAGAAAAAGTGTGTTTCAGGAAATTGTTTCTCCTTTCATTACGTACTCGTAATAATGGACTAACCAAGAATTACAGCTCCGAGAACCGAGTTGCGCTTACAACAAAATCACACTACAAGCGGAATTGCCGTGATGTACCGTGCTAAGCGGTACAACGAACCGACGATAACAGCCGGTCATTGTACGAAAACAAAAGATAGAATAAAGTAATTTATTCTCGGAGATATACACTCGATATATTCTGCTCGGAGCAAACAGTGTTTTGAAATATGTCTTTATACCGACCTTAATACAGACCATAGCAACAAATATAGAATACTAATTGTAATATAATTACTGATCATATAAGATNTGTATTATGCTCGCGATTTATATTTACAATTCTGTTGGTAACAGCTATAGCAGATTTAATAATATATCAATGGTATCAATATTAATATATTAATGACGGTTACTGACAATATTATTGACTGTGTGAGAATAGTAGTACAGATAGATAATGAGAAGAAAAATAATAAATAAATGGTGCAATCAATTAAAATGTGTCTTTTAACTTTTAACATTACCTTTGCATCCAGAGTCGCAGCATCCGCAGTTATCACCACACTTGCAACCATCCTGACATTTGTCTGCAATATACATAAAAAAGTATGGTATATATATTACAACGTATATATATATACACGCAATGTATGTGTGTATAAAAGTGACTATAGAAAAAAAAAAAAAATATATATATATATATATGTAATAAAGTATGTATATTATATAACATGTATAAACAATTTAAAAAACTAAACAATATATATACGTATATGCATGTATACATACTATATGTATGTATATGTATACATATACTTGGAAATACAAAATTATCTAAAATAAGAGATCTTAAGAGCGCAACAATTTTTATCAGTATAACTGATTAAATTTACTTTATCAGCTATATATACTGCTGTTTACTTGAGATTTAAGAAATAAAGCTAACTTTATTTATTTAAACGCAGTTAGTAATTGGCGCAGTTGTGTCAGAATGACAATTGAGGAAACGTCATGTTAAATCGTCTATTAAATGTCCAATAAAGCGTCATGATATATGTTTATATATATATATATATATATATGAATATACTTACCTTTGCACTTGTCACATCCTGGTCCCGGCATCTTAACTGGTTTTGGCTGGCTTGTCAAAGCTCGAACAGTCAGATAATGCTGAGGATCGACTAACTTGCCGATATAACGCCCAACACTGAATTTATCGATCGGTCCCCACTATGATCCGGGCTTGGTTCCGAGCGGTTTGACGAGCGCAAAGCGCGGCGTGTGCAACCGTCAACATGCGTGCAATGCGCAATTGTTCAGGGCCGTGTCAACTCTGCCGGCACGGCTTTTTCTAACAGGTTGCTGAATTAAACGCATTTAATTTTTCTTTGTTTTTCTATATATGTTTTCTTTACACCTATACATGAATTTTAAACACGGTTTAATAATCTTTTTAATATTATATATATATATAAACATATACATATATATATGTATATATATATATATGTTTATATGTATATATATATGACAGAATATATATATATATATATATATATATTCTGTTTTACATATATAAAAGTATTAATATAAATCGTGTCATTTGTGCAGCATGAAAAAAAACAATATATTAAAAAGATTATTAAACCATGTTTATATATATATAAATTTTAAAAATGTTAAAAACTGTTTGAATACTGAACTACACAGTTTTAACACTATTATAAAAATAAAGATGATAGAGTAGCGAAAATGAAAAATTACCGTGATTTCGATATTTTACATTTTATTATGCTGATCGTAAAAGATTAATGATTATTTGATTAAATCATATATATTTTTTCTTTTCATTAATACAAATAAATCAGAGCCTTTCAACTTGCGCACGGTGTATGGTTTGCGTCATAAGATCTCTATGCAGTCACGTAATCAGTTGGAAGTCTCTGAAATAAATCATTTGACGTAGTGATTGTAAACTATATATATATATATATATATATATATATATATATATAT